CAAAATCAACGGAATTAGCTGACTTTTCAGCTCCATAAGCTGAGTCTCTCTTTAAACACTTGCTGTTGAGCTGATTGAAATGGGCTTCCCCGCTAGGTGGGTGAACTGAATTGGCGTGGTTGACGATTCTTTTTGGTATTTCCCATTCTTTCTCTACTTAGCCTTCCAGGCACACAGCCCTCTCAGAGGTTCCCCTTCTGGACCCAGTTCTGTCTCCTGGAGATATGGAGATCTCATGACCCGTGCTAGGGACTGGTCCACCGCCTTCTCTCCAGCACTCAACTTTATAAACTTAACCACACCAAGTGACATTTCTTCAGCACTTAGATAAGTAACAATAATGGTTCAATTGTCCTCTTTTCTTCAACCCAAGCTTCTAGGGCTTCAATCTGAATGGCTGTTACTAGTGTAAGAGTGGGAAGGGCTTTGGGCAGCCTGGGCTTTTGGAATTCCAGGATCATACTCCCATAATGGCCACTGGCTGTGCCACGAATTTCTGCCCCCAGGAATGCAGTGTAGAATAATCATTCCTACAAAGAACACACCGTGAAGATGGGTTCGGGAAGCTGTAAAAATCCTGCAAAACAGGCTCAACTTTCAAGAGCTTTAGAGTCTTGGTGGGATGATAAGATATAGATAGAATTAGAGGTATATGGTAGTGAAACAAGGACTGCAGGTGAGTGACCCCTGTGGCCTTTGTCACCAGGGAATGTGTCATGTGGAGGACAGGTGCTACAGCTAGATTTCTTTCTTTCTTTTTTTTAATATTTATTTATTTATTTTAGAGAGAGCAAGGGTGTACATGCAAGCAGGGGCAGAGGGAGAGAGAGAGAGAGAATCTCAAGTAGACTCCCCACTGAGTGTGCAGCTGGATGCGGGGCCCAATCGCACAACCCCAAGGTCATGACCTGAGCCAAAACCAAGAGTCAGACGCCTAACTGACTGAGCCATCCAGGTGCTCCATGCACCTGATTTCTTTTTTTTTTTTTTTTTAAAGATTTTATTTATTTATTTGAGAGAGAGAGAATGAGAGAGAGCACATGAGAGGGGTTAGGGTCAGAGGGAGAAGCAGACTCCCTGCTGAGCAGGGAGCCTGATGCAGGACTCGATCCAGGGACTCCAGGATCATGACCTGAGCCAAAGGCAGTCGCTTAACCAACTGAGCCACCCAGGCGCCCTTCTTTTCTTTTTTTAAGATTTTATTTATTTATTTGACAGAGAGAAAGAGGGAGAGAGAGAGGGAGAGAGCACAAGCAGGGGGAGCAGCAGGCTCTCCACTGAGCAGAGAAGCCAATGTGGGGCCCGAACCCAGGACCCTGGGATCATGACCTAAGCTGAAGGCAGATGCTTAACCAACTGAGCCACCCAGGTGCCCCATGGACCTAGATTTCTTAAGTGGAATTCAGCTGCTGGGAGGGAAAGTAAGTACTCCTGGCAGGCAGACTCTCCTATCAGAACCAGTATTTCAATTGCAAAATTTCTGAATCTCTGCCTATTGTCCCCAGTTCAGAACCAAGTTCAGAACTTTTACCAGCTACTCCTCTCCCGCTCTCTTTACTACTTTGCTTACCTTGCTCCTGCCATATCCCTTCTTGTCTTAAAGAGGTTTACTCTCCTCCAGATACAAATGTCTGCCCCAGCTCAGTGCAGTAGCAACAGGAGGGATAAGTCATGTGTGTTGTTGAGTTTTTTGTGGGAAGGTATCTTTTTAGGGTGAATATAATCTGGGGAAAGGAAAATTTCTCCTGCTGGGTCAAAATCACCAAATACTTATTTTCTGAGTCTCTTTACCAGGCTTTCTCTTTGGTTGTCAGCTTGGATTTTTCCTTTTTAATCAATCCAAGGCCAAGTATATGTAAGCTGTACTAATAACAAGAAATAACAAGTTGGACAATGAAAGAAGTAGTGAAAAGTCAGAGGCCTGCAGAATCCATAAATCATTTTTCTGGTCACTGAGTAATTCAGAGTTGCCTATGGGAGAAAAATGAAGACTTGTTTCCTCTTTTTGTATAGTTTTAGCTTTTTTAGATGGTCAAGGTTGCCAGATCCAGTTCACTCCTGTTGAAAGAGCGCTTCCTGAACTTCTCCTTTCTCACTAAATTGACCCATGTGCTCTTGCCTGATTCAAAACTTATTGCAGAACCAGGCATGTAGGCACTCAAAGGACTTTGTTGAGTGAACTAATGAAATTAATTTAGGTGTTGGGTATCTGCTATAGGGTCAGTCTTTTTTTTTTTTTAATAAAGACCTTATTTATTTATTTGAGAGGGAGAGAGAGCGAGCACGAGCAGGGGCGAGAGGCAGAAGCAGAGGGAGAGGGAGAAGCAGGCTCCCAGTTGAGCAGGGAGACCTACTCCGGGCTGGATCCCAGGACCCCAGGATCATGACCTGAGCTGAAGGCAGACACCTAACACCACTGAGCCACCAGGTGCCCCTATAGGGTCAGTCTTTATATCTCCCAGATTTATGGCTCCTGAATAGTTAATTACTTGAATCTATGAACAGCTTTAGAGGCTCAAAAATCTTTGTAAAGTATGTTCTGTTTAAACATTTCTAGATTGTACAAGTAAAAAGCATACAAATAGAATAGCTGTTTCTTGGTTGAAAATAAGCTGCTTTCCAGTCCAGGGCTCCAAGGTCACATTATGCTGCAAAATAACCTGGTAGTAGAGAAACCATAAAATATTATCATGTACTTTGTACCTATTGCATTTTTCTGTTAAGAGAGAAGAGATAAAACCCAGACGTTCTCAGGAGTTTCTTACATGTGGAAACTTTTTTGTTAAAGAGCATCTTGTCTGTGAGTCCAAAGGCAATGTGACATATTTTGATGTTATACTCAGATCTTGGGTGTCATGTTCCCCTTCATGAACTCAGAAACACCTGCCCCTACTTGCCAAGGCTTAGGAGAGGTTTCCTGGGCTCTGTAAGATATCCAAGAGCTGGGCTTGGCTCTATATACCTGCCCAGGTTTGTAGAACAGGACCTTAGAGAAAACGATCCTTCTCTGACCTGTTGGGCAGAACAACCTAACTTCCAAGAAATCACACAGTGTTCAGGGTTGTGGAGGGACATCAAAGAAGTAAAAGGCAAAGTCCTGCTCTCAGTGAGCTCCAGAGAGTGCGTGGCTGTAACAGCTGGAGTAAGTGACCTTGGTCTAGGGCAGCGGGAGCCAAGGAGGACTGAATCCCTTTTGGTGTCTTGCTCTGGACATTTGCAGACATGGGCTCTGCTCTTTACAGCTTTGCCTCTGTGCCTACACCATTTTTCAGCCCTGACCTCGTAGCTTTGACTTTACTTTCTACTCAGCTAAGGCTAATCTCAGTTGCTTATGTGTGTTGAATGTTTTCCATTTGCCTCTCTACCCCATCTATTCTCCACCCTTTCCCACTGAGTCTGTGTTCTTGGAGAGTAACCTGCAGAGACTTCCTTAAAGGGGCTCCCTAGGGGGGTGCCTGGGTGGCTCAGATGGTTAAGCGTCTGCTTTCAGCTCAGTGCATGATCCCAGGGTCCTGGGATCGAGCCCCGCATCGGGCTCCTTGCTCAGCGGGAAGCCTGCGCTTCTCCCTCTCCTTCTACTGCTCCCCCTGCTTGTGCTCTCTCTGTCAAATAAATAAATAAAATCTTAAAAAAAAGGGGGAGGGCTCCCTAGGTCTCTGGCTTCCTAATGTGTCCAGCCCATGGAGAACTCTGGTAGGAGGTGGGAGGTCGGGATGCTTATCACCTCGGAGCCCTCCCAGTGGCATCACTGATGACCACAGCTCAGGCAGGTAGCCTCTCCTTTCTTCTTCTCTTTGGGTTTTGGGAACCAGCCTAGGGTTGACAATGGTGCACTGAGTCCAGGTTACTTCCCCACCCTTGTGGTTTACCAGTCCATGCTTAAATAATTCCTGTAACAAATGCACTTCAGATTTCCAATTTGGAGTGTGCCATAGGTTTCCAGCTGGGGTCCTGACTGATCACAATGGTTTCTTTTTCTTTCTTTCTTCTTTTTCTTTTCTTTTTAAGATTTATATATTTATTTTAGAGGGAGAGCACCCCCCCCGTAGGGGGAGGGGCAGAGGGAGACTATCTCAAGTGGACTCCCCGCTGAGTTCCCAGGCTCCATCTCACCACCCAGAGATCATGACCTCAGCCGAAATCCAGAGACTGAACCACCCAGGCGCCCCTGACCACGATGGTCTAAGGAAACACGGTGCAGTCCTTTGTCCCTGCAGCTGTCTTGGACTGCGCACTGAGAAGGGCAGAGGCACACGGGTCTGGGCTGCCTCTCACCTGCAGAGTGACCCTGGGCAAGTCGCTTTCCCTCTCCCAGTCTCTGGTTTCTAATATATAACAAAAATGGTGGAGGCAAAATGATGTCCAGGTCCCCTCCTATTCTCATACGAGATTGTCCTGGACTGTCCATTTTGAGTTCTGAGTTTTAATTATGGCTTGTGGAGGGCGCCACAGACAAACTTACACGGGGTGTGTCGCGGTCATTTAAGTGTCTACCCGCAGCACGAGGTCGGCAGTGTGTTTTCCAGCTGCCGTGATGACTTCTGGGGGTGGGTTCAGAAGCGCAACAGGGTTCGAGGGGTCCCGCAGCTGTGTTTGGGGTGTAGCTGGGTGGGCGCCCCGCAGAAGGCTCTGCGTGGCAAGGGACAGGGAGCATGGCCGGGAGCGCAGGGCTGGAGGTCCTGCCAGTCGTCCAGACCCTCGCGGCTGGGATCCTGGAAACTCCGGGAGCCCGAGGCCCAACAGACATTCCATCCTTTCGGGCCTCGTCTTCCCTCCAGCAAAGGGCGGACAGTGAGCGACCGGCTGAAAGGCAGCGGCCAGGCCCGCGCGGGAGCGCAGGGACCGGGCGGCGGCCCAGAGCAGCCCCGCCCGGGAGATGCGGGAGCCGCTCGAACCTCGGTGGGAGGTTGGGTTCGCGCCGCGCCGCAGCCGGGCGGGCGGGGCGGAGGGCGGGCCCACGGCGATTGGTGCCCAGCTCTCCGTCGCCAGCCAATGGGTGGCGAGGGCGTCCCGGGGGCGGGGCGGAAGCCGCGTCTTAGGCTCTGTGACGCGCCACCGTCGCGCTGCTGTGCTGTCGACGACGCGTGTCCCCGGCCGGCGTCGGAAGCCCCGCCAGGTATCCGCGCTAGCGCGGAGGGGCCGCGGCTCGGGCCGGGACCGGGCGTCCGCGACCGCGGCCGGCGAGGCGGCCGACGCAGGCGGCGTCGGTCTCGGGTCGAGGGTCTGGGGGGTGGGGAACGGGCTTAGGGGGCGCGCTGGGCCTCAGCCCGGGGGCAGGTTCCGCCTTTGCGGCCGTTTTACGCGGCGGGCGGCGGGCGGCGGGCACTGCGGGGCCGGGGGCAGCGGGCGGACGCGCAGCCTGGGCGGGCGGGGGACGCGGCGCATCCCGGCCCGGAGCGGCGGGCGGGCGAGGGAGGCAGGAGGCAGAGAGAGGCTGAGGATGTGGCGCCTCCGCCTGCCAGAGCAGGCGGGGCCGGGCGGGCCCTCGGCCCTCGGTCCCCCCGGCCCGCGGCCCCCCAGCGCTGCGGGGTCTCTGCGCCTTGGCTGCGCGCCTTCGGGCTTGCGAGAAGGTGTTGGGGCGCTAGCGCGTGGGGAGGCGGCACCGGGCACCGCGGGCACCCTGGGTTCCCGAGGTCTACCAGAAGGGTACATTATGGATTTGGGGGAACTGCTCAGTAAACGGTGGCTTTTGTAATGGGACGGAGGGCGCCGATGGACCCTTGAAAAGGGTTCGAATCCTTCCGGGTAGTGCCTGGGCCCTGCCTCCGACCTGCTTATCTCTCCCCTCCCCCAACATCGTTTTTCCCTCCAGTCTTTGTCCAAATAAAAAATTGCAGAAGTAGAGCCTTATCTACAGTAACGTGCAGACTAATTGGATGGTGTCAAGGGATTGGGGCCAACAGGCTTTCAGCATGAAGACTTCATCCGTAGAGGTCTTTGCCAGCAGTGCTGAACATCAGTAAATTCTGGTTGAAATCAGTGGGGCCCTTGTCTCAGGAACCTGTGGTCTCCACCTTTTTGTAACTCTTACCTTCTTGGTTTCAGTTTTACCTCTTTGATGAGGTGATAAATTAAGAGAGAAAAGTGAGTTTGAAATGAATTGGCTTTAATAAATGACTAATCTGTAATTTTCTCAATTCCAAATCCCTTCTTTGGGTTTCTAAGAGTTTCTGTAGGTAAACTCGTTCTCAGTTTGAACCTGAAAGTGTTCTTTATGTAATCCAATTTCTTTATCTTACCTGTTTGAAATAAACAATAGACTTCTTTCTTTTTTTTTTTTTTTTTAAGATTTTATTTATTTATTTGAAGAGAGAGACACAGCGAGAGAGGGAACACAAGCAGGGGGAGTGGCAGAGGGAGAAGCAGGCTCCCCGCCGAGCAGGGAGCCCGATGCGGGGCTCGATCCCAGGACCCTGGGATCATGACCTGAGCCGAAGGCAGACGCTTAACGACTGAGCCACCCAGGCGCCCCCAATAGACTTCTTTCTTAGAATATCTTGGTTTCATCTTCAGAGAATCTAGTTCCGGATTATGAAAAAGATCCAAGTATGAAAGTAGAGTCTGTCGCTCTCTCTCTCTCTTTTTTTTTTTAAGATTTTATTTATTTGAGAGAGAGCGAGGAGAGATATGAGAGTACAAGCACGGAGGAGAGGGAGAAGCAGGCTCCCTGCTGAGCAAGGAGCCCCACACAGGGCTTGATCCCAGGACCCTGAGATCGTGACGTGAGCCTAAGGCAGACGCTTAATGACTCAGCCACCCAGTCGCCCGTTGTGGTTTTTTTTTTTAATGAAGCATTTTAAAAAATGTTAATTCCAGTGTAGTTAAAAGTGTGTATGTTAATTTCAGGTGTACAATGTGGTGATTCAACAGTTGCATATATTAGCGCTCATCAAGATAAATATACTTAAAAAAAAGATTTTATTTATTTATTTGAGTGAGGTGGGGAGGGGGTCAGAGGGAGAAGCAGACTCTCTGCTGAGCAGGGAGCCTGATGCGGTGCTCCATCCTGGGACCCTGAGATCATGACCCTAGCTGAAGGCAGCTGCTTAACCAACTGAGCCACCCAGGCACCCCTGAATCTCATATATTTTAAAATACAGAGGAATTGGGGTGTCTGCATGGCTCGGTCAGTTAGGCAGATCTTGATCTCAGGGTTGTGAGTTCAAGCTCCCTTGTGCTCTGCGCTGGGCGCAGAGCCTACTTAAAAAAAAAAAAGTAGGAATGGACCAAATTTTGGAGGTGTGCGGAGGGTGTGGTCTGGCAGAGCCAGTCCTTTTTCAATAGTAATGGTTAAGATGTTTGTGCCAATGACGCACTTGAGTTGAATTTTAGCCAGATTACATACAAAAAAAAGAAAAACCCACAAATTTTTGTTAGCAGAACTTTAAAAAAAAAAAAAGACTGTATTTGTGAATGGTTACCTCAAGAAAAGTAAATATTTGACCGATACAGGAAAGTCAAATTTACTCCACAAGTTGAATATTTTAAGTGGCTTTTGATGAAATTCTGCTGGTTTTTCTTAGAGTTATTTAAAAAAAACTTGTATTTCATAGTGTATGCTAAATTAAATTAACTCTTCAAAATGCAGCCTTTTATGGAAATTCTATTTTAGGTATGTTTTCATGTAGACAGGATGGATTAGATAGATGGGAGTAATAATAGCTTGAAGAAGGGCTTTGTGAATTATGTAGATTACTGAAAACAATGATAAAATTTTTCCTGTCAGTAGCAGCTTGTCTTGTCTATCCTGTCGTGTCCCCCACCCCGCACCTGAGTGTGGGCCTTGGTTAAAGGCAAGACAACAGCCTGGACTGGTCAGGCTTACACATACTATTTTGACTCTTGAAGGCCATTAAATTTTTATTTTATTTTTTTAAATTTATTTATTTTATTTTATTTTTTTTAAGATTTTTATTTATTTATTTGAGAGAATGAGATGAGAGAGCATGAGACGGGGGAGGGTCAGAGGGAGAAGCAGACTCCCTGCTGAGCAGGGAGCCCGATGCGGGACTTGATCCCGGGACTCCAGGATCATGACCTGAGCCGAAGGCAGTTGCTCAACCAACTGAGCCACCCAGGCGCCCTTAATTTATTTTTTTTATTTAAAAAACTACACTGTACATTAACTTATTGGAATTTAAATAAAAACTTAAAAAAAAGTTCACTTCATTAAATTTAATGGCCTTGGGCTGCCAATCCACACGTATGGAGTAGAGCTTACTTAAAAAAAAAAATGTTAGTTAAGAGAGTTCTTAGTATTTTTTTAATACCTCAGTTTGTTTTCATAGTGCCTCTCTGCATGGTTCTGGTCACAGAGCTGCAGACCTTGATAGCAAAATCACTACAGAGGGTAGTTTTCATCTTAGAATTTGACCGTGTCTCATACAAATGAACTTCTAGACCTACTTGTAATCCAGGCTGCACTTCCTAGGGGAAATGACCTCTGCCTTTCTTTTAACCACAGACCATTTTCTCAGAGCTTCTCAAACACTTCTTTTCCCCTTAGTTTTGTTTTATATGTTGCCTAAGCTTTTTCTCTGTCGAATGTGACAACCTAGGCAGACATTCAGCTTCATTTGTAACAGTTCTTTTTCTGATTATAAATGTGGGACGTAGAGAATAGTAGAAAGATAATCACAGTGAACGTTTTTGTGCCTTTCCAGGTAGTTTTTCCTTATATTACTTCTTTATTTATAATCTTGAACGTATTGTATATATGGTTTTTTTTCACTTAAACACATCGTAAAACACCTCTCCGTGTTGTTATACTATAATTATTTTAAGTGACAGCATGTTGTTATGTATGTGATTATGTTGATCCGTTCTCCTACTGTTGAATATCTTTTATGCATGAATGTTTCTCCACATTCCTGAGTATTTATGATAAGATCTTAGGAGTGAAATTACTGGTCTAAGAGTACAAACCCTTCTAAGGCTGTGATAAGGGCTACAGTTCTTTTCTTTCTTTCTTTTCTTTCTTTCTTTCAAGATTTTATTTGAGAGAGAGAGAGAGAGCACAAGCAGGGGGAGCAGCAGAAGGAGAGGGAGAATCAGGCTCCTCGCTGAGCACGGAGCCCAATGTAGGGCTCGACCCCAGGACCCTCGGATCATGACCTGAGCTGAAGGCAGATGCTTAACTGACTGAGCCAACCAGGCGCCCCTATAGTTCTTTTCAAAAAGGGTTTAGTTCAGAGTACCACCATGGAATGCTGTGTTTGTTTTTTTTTTTTTAAAGATTTTTATTTATTTATTCATGAGAGACAGAGAGAGAGAGAGGCAGAGGGAGAAGCAGGCTCCCAAGGAGCAGAGAGCCCGATGCGGGACTCGATCCCAGGACCCTGGGATCATGACCTGAGCCGAAGGCAGACGCTTAACCATCTGAGCCACCCAGGCGCCCGGAATGCTGTGTTTTATTGCTAATTTGATCAAGGCAGAAATTGTTAATTTTTTAGTTGGTCGAACAGAGCATTAATTCTTACTGCGTAGAGCATAAAAGGCCAAGAAATAAAGTTAAAATCCATGTTTTAGACTTCACAGTAGTATTTTGGGGAAGTTCTGTCTCATTTTGTATAGCTAGACCTTGCATTTTGCTAGCCACTGCCCCCTGTCTGCTAGTTCCTATATAATGTGCCTCCCCCGGATACAACCTGGTGAGAGCTAAGGACCTTCTCCTTCGGAGAATGCATTTATGCATACAATTCTGCATTTTATTTCAGGAGTTATTGGATCCTCTGAACACCATCCCTGCATCTCAGATTAAAAATCTGTATTCTCATCTGAACTGTGGGAAGAAAGGATAGTTGGTGAGTTTGGGGAAACGGAGTGCTGGATTTTGTTTAGTAACTGTGAATTCCTGAACATACTGGATTTACCATGTCGTGCCAGGCTGAAAGGGAAGTAAGCCAAACTCCAAGTATTAAGTTTTTGCTAATTTGGCAGCTTAAAATGAGTGCTAGGAGGTTGTGTGATTTGACTTGTCATTCATGGAACTCTGTCTAAACATGACTTAAGTAGTCTTTTTAAAACATAAGTATAGACAAAAAAATATAGACGTAGTAAGTATGCTTAGTGTTTGTCAACTTTAAAAAAAAATTATTAATTTGAGAGAGAGAGAGAGGGCGCACCTCCCTTTGAATGAGGGGGGAGGAGCAGAGGGGGAGGGAGAGGGACAAGCAGACTCCTTGCTGAGTGCAGAGCCCCACCCCTGAGATCATGACCTGAGCCAACCCAAGAGTCCAAAGCTTAACCAACTGAGCCACCCAGGTGCCCCTGGCAACTTTTAAGATTCTGTTTTTTTATTTAAGAGAGAGAGTGAATGCAAGAGCAGAGGGGGGGTGGGGGGCTGGGGGTGTGGTAGCAGAGGGAGAGGGAGAAGCAGGCTCCCCACTGAGCCGGGAGCCCAATGTGGGGCCCGATCCCACCTCCTCCTCTGATTTGGTCTGCGTACTGAGGGGACTACCCATTTGAAAGGATTCGGCCCCACAGCAGTCCCTTATAACAGGTGCTCAGTCCACAAGATCAGGTACCACCTCTCTAGCCCCTCTGCTGTGCAGCCTTGCCTGACTCCCCAGAGTGAGTTCCTTGTCCTTGATATACTCTCAGTACTGATGACTTAAAAAAAGTATGTGTGCTTAGTAAAGAACACTTGAGTGGCACAGAAGAGAAGAGTGTAAGTGAGAGTCAAAGCCCCTGACCTCCCATCCATAGTTTTTCTCGATTTTCTTACCTATTCTCTTGGCCTCCTTTCCTGTAGTACTTTGTGCACATCCTGCTGTAGTCCTTGTCAGGTTTGACTCTAAACATGTATGTGCTTATTTCCCTTAAGCTTCCCCAGGCAAGGACTGGGTCTTTGTTCTCCCTCATTTTCTTGATTGTTTGGCGGACTTTGGTGAATGCTCAACACATGATAAGCCGACATGCACTGACTCTGGGAAGACTTTTACTCTTACTGCCTTCTCTTCTTTTTGAACAGGTGGGTGGTATTCCTACTTGAAGGACACGATGTTTTCCAGACTAGCTCATCTGCAGACCATTGCTGTGCTTCGTCGTGGAGTTCATTCCTCAGTGGCTTCTGCTACGTCTGTTGCGACTAAAAAGACAATCCAAGGCCCTCCATCTTCCGATTACATTTTTGAGCGAGAATCTAAATATGGTGCACACAACTACCATCCTTTACCTGTAGCCCTGGAGAGAGGAAAAGGTACATTTTGAATTAATCCAATGCCCCTTCTCCCTTTTGCTTGAAACCTTTTATAAAAATTGTTTTTAAGTTTTCTCAGTATACATTTTTCCAGATGCATTTAATTTCTTTTTTTTTTTTTTTAAAGATTTTTATTTATTTGAGAGAGAGAGAATGAGAGAGAGCACATGGGAGGGGGGAGGGTCAGAGGGAGAAGCAGACTCCTTGCTGAGCAGGGAGCCTGATGCGGGACTCGATCCAGGGACTCCAGGATCATGACCTGAGCCTAGAGCCTAGTGCTTGCAGTCTTAGGTACGGGGGGGGGGGGGGGGGGGGGGATACAAAGATGAACTCATTGTCTTTACCATTATGGACCTTGCCAGGAGGGAATGTAAGATACATAAGGGGGCACCTGGGTGGCTCAGTCGTTAAGCGTCTGCCTTCGGCTTAGGTCATGATCCCAGGGTCCTGGGATCGAGCCCCGCATCAGGCTCCCTGCTCCACGGGAAGCCTGCTTCTCTTTCTCCACTCCCCCTGCTTGTGTTCCCTCTCTTGCTGTGTCTCTCTGTCTCAAATAAATGAATAAAATCTTTAAAAAAAAAAGGGAAAGTACTATAATAGTGCTGTCGTTTCTTTCCTTTAACTTTTATTTTGGCATAATTTTAGGCTTAAAGAAAAGTTACAATAACAGTACAAAGAATTTTCTTTTTATTTTTTAAAGATTTATTTATTTATTTATTTGAGAGAGAGAAAGCCAGAGAGAGCACAAGCTGGGGGAGGGGCAGAGGGAGAGGGAGAAGCAGATTCTCTGCTGAGCAGGAAACCCAACTCAGGATTCAATCCCAGGACCCCTCAATCCCAGGACCCCGGGATGATGACCTGAGCTGAAGGCAGATGCTCAACTGACTGAGCCACCAGGCACCCAAAGAATTTTCTATTACTCTTCACCCAGATTTCTTTCTTTCTTTCTTTCCACTCAGATTTCTTTCTTTCTTTTTTTTTTTAAAGATTTTATTTATTTATTTGACACAGAGAGAGAGCACCAGCAGAGGGAGAGGGAGAAGCGGGCTCCTTGCTGAGCAGAGAGCCTAATGTGGGACTCGATCCCAGGACCCTGGGATCATGACCTGAGCCAAAGGCAGACGCTTAATGACTGAGCCACCCAGGCGCCTTCATGCAGATTTCTTGAGTGCTACCATTTTACCACATTTACTTTATCATTTTCTCTACACACACACACACGCACACACGCGCACTCGCACACACGGGCTACGTATTTTCCTGAACTGTTGAGAGGAAGTTGCAGACATGTGATGTCTCTTTACACCTAAATACTTAGTGTTTCTTTCCTGAAATACAGGACTTTTCTCAAACAATAGTGTAATTGTCAAGATAGGGAAATTATCGTTGGTAAGGCACCATTATCTAATCTACAGACCTGATCCAGATTTCATTTGTTGTCCTGTCGTAAAAGGAAAATCTCAGATCATGGGTTACATTCAGTTTTCAGGTCTGTTTAGTTTTCTTTAATCCAGAGCAGTTCCTCATTCTTTCTTTGTCATCTTGATCTTGATGTTTTTAAATAGTACAGGTCAATAATTTTGTAGAATGAACCTCAGTTTGGAAGTTGGCTGGTAAGGTAGTGACTGCCAGCCTTCTTCACTACAAAGATACTATTTTGTCCTTTTGAATATCTTGTGGGGACATGATTTGAGACTCTGCAAACTTTTACTCACACTTTTAACATCCATTAATTATTCTCTACCTGAATAAATGATTACTGATATTTGCCAAGTGGTGATTTAATGCACATTTTGAAATAACAGCCTTAACCTAATAAAACCAAACTTTATTACTTAGCTTTGGGCCAGAAGATGATGTATAAGAGTATTAAACATCTTTATCATTTTGCTGTATTTTTATTTAGGACCAGCACTGTAATCTAGATTTTGAACAAATGAAAATCTAGACTTCTTTTTTTTTTTTTTTTTTTAAAGATTTTATTTATTTATTTGAGAGAGAGAATGAGATAGAGCGAGCATGAGAGGGGGGAGGGTCAGAGGGAGAAGCAGGCTCCCCGCTGAGCAGGGAGCCCGATGCGGGACTCGATCCTGGGACTCCAGGATCATGACCTGAGCCGAAGGCAGTCGCTTAACCAACTGAGCCACCCAGGCGCCCCGAAAATCTAGACTTCTATGTTATGAATTTGGAAACTGTTTGTAAAAATATTCCTGTACTAGCAGAGTGTGGGTTCTGGAATCTGAGTGCCTGGGGTCAAGTCCTGGTTCTGTATGTGCCAGCTTGGGCTAATTCTAAGTCCAAGCATCTCTTTCCATATCTTTGTACTGTAGGATGGTAATACTTTCAGGGGTGGTTTGTTTTGTTTTGTTTTGTTTTTTAAATAGGGTTTTTTTGATGAGATAAGATACAGAAGTACCTAACACAGTATGTTAAAAGTACATGGTAAAAGTTAGCTGGTAAGCTACCCAGTACATTTTAAAATCTATAGTCAATTAAAAAAAATTGTTTTTAAGCATACATAACTTAAAATTTACCATTTTTATCGTTGAGTTCAGTGCAACTAAGTACACCTACAGTATTGTAGAGCTATCACCTCTAGCTAGTCCTGGGACTTTATTACCCCCAAAGGCCCCCCCTATACCCATTAAATAGTCACTCTACAGTCTCCCCTCTCCCTAAAACCCAGCAGCCACTAACCTGCATTCCATCTCTGTGGATTTGCCTGTTCTGGATATTTCATATAAATGGAATGGCTGCAACACATGGTCTTTTGTGTCTGGCTTCTCTGACTTAGTGTAATGTTTTCAAGGCTCACCCATGTAGCATGTGTTAGTACTCCATTGCTTTTTATGGTTGAATGATATTTCATTATATGGATGGACCACATTTTGTTTATCCATTCATTAGTTGGTGGACATTTGGGTTGTTTCCACCTTTGACTACTGTGAATGGAACTGCTATGAGCATTTGTGTACAAATTTTTGTTTGAACACATGTCTTCCACTTTTTTGGGGTATATACCTGGGTGTGGAATTGCTCGGTTAGATGGGAACTTTATGTGTGACTTGCTGAGGAGGTGCCCAACTGTTTTCTACAGCGGCTGCACCATTTTACAATATATATGAGTTGCAGTTTCTAGTAATACATGAGTTCCAGTTTCTCCTTATTGTTGCCAACACTTGTTTTCTTCCTTCCTTCTTCCCTCCCTCCCTCCCTCCCTCCCTCTCTTTCTTTCTTTCTTATAACCATCCTTATGAGTGTAGAATGCTATCACTGAGATTTTGATTTGCATTTCTGTAGTGACAGATATTGAGCATCTTTTCATGTGCTTTTTGGTCATTTGTATATCTTCTTTGGAGAAATGTCCATTCATGTTCTTTGCCCATTTTTAAATTTTTTTTTTTTTAAGATTTTATTTATTTGAGAGAGAGAGCAAGAGAGAGAGGGAACACGAGTGGGGGTGCAGAGGGAGAGGGAGAAGCAGACTCCCTGCTGAGCAGGGAGCCCGATGATGCCGGGCTCGATCCTGGGACTCCAGGATCATGATCTGAGCTGAAGGCAGCCGCTTAACCGACTGAGCCACCCAGGCGCCCCTGAATTGGGTTGTTTGTTGTTGACTTGTGTTTTGGATACTAGATCCTTAGTAGATAGGTTTGTGATCTGGAAATATATTTTCTCATTCTGTTGATAGTTACAGTCAAGTAATCATGATTTTTATGTTACGTTCTGCTTTTAAATTCCAAATGCCAGTTTTCTAGGAGTGAGGGTTTCACTCCAGACTTTATAAACTTTTTCATGTTACTGTGTTCTTGTTAAAGGTCTAATTTCAAGCTGGACAGATAAAATATAATTCCTTATAAACCAGGTTATTTATAATCAATCAGACTATGCTTGAGCTAAAATATGCCTTAACCACAATTCTGTATTAAGTAAAGGTTCATGTGTAGGTATTCAGAAGGCTTGCCAACAGTCTTAATCTTTGAATTTTATGTAACTCAGTGATTTTCTAAAATGACTCTCTTTATATATTTAGGTATTTATGTATGGGATGTAGAAGGCAGAAAATACTTTGACTTCCTGAGTGCTTACAGTGCTGTCAACCAAGGGCATTGCCATCCAAAGATTGTGAATGCTCTGAAAAGTCAAGCAGACAAACTGACTTTAACATCCAGGGCTTTCTATAATAATGTGCTTGGTGAATATGAAGAGTATATTACTAAACTTTTCAACTACCACAAAGTTCTTCCTATGAATACAGGTAAAATATTTCCTTTTACATTAAATAGCCAAGAAAACAATCTTACTACTTTTTGATAATTTAAGATTTTTTTTTTTTAACTGAAAAATTTTCTTTCTTGATAGGAGTGGAGGCTGGAGAGACCGCTTGCAAACTTGCTCGTAGGTGGGGATACACCGTTAAGGGTATTCCAAAGTACAAAGCAAAGATTGTTTTTGCAGGTATGTGAAATTCAACATTAGCCTTTGTGATGTCATCATACGATGTCATTATTATTTCAATTTACTGATGGAATATTTCCAGTGTGTTTGCCTCCTCTGTGATACATTATTTGCTAAATGTTTCATAAAAATTGAGAGATTTTCTCTTTTGGGGTTATTTCCAAGTATTTCTACATAAATGGGATTTTTCTCTGCTAAGTAACTCTCTACTCCTCACTCCCTAAAATGAATGACTGTATGATTTATTTATCATCTGCTTATCAGATTTTTTTCATAGCAGGTTTCTCATTAACTAGATGATCTTTACTGGTAGAGCATTTTTGTCAGGTTGTTGAGGTTGGGTTGTGTTAGAATGGGGCCGTGTCCTAGGCATGATATGGAGTTTGAATCTTAGTATTTGATGTGTTATTGTATCATGTTCTCAGAAGCTGTTGGAAGAGGAGGGCTGGAGTTGCCCTGGATAGATTTCTGGGAATGGTTGAGAGGAATGACTTGGATACTGATTTGGGAGACGAACAGTTACTTCAGATGATGGAATCTGACCTTTCTCCTCCGTACCCACCCTGTATTGGCATCTTACTTGTGTATTTAAATTTTGCTTTTATTTTTTGACATACCAAAAGATGTTTGTAATTGATGTAGACAACTTGCTGAGCTCAGAGATAGGTGTTCACCCATGAAACCACCATGACAATCTAAGCCGCTACCCTTTCCACCACCTCCAAAAGTTTCCTTTGTCCTCTTATTTATTATTACTAGTTGTACTTTTTATTCATTTTTTAATTGAAGTATAATTACCGTACAGCATCCTAGTAGTTGCAGGTATACAATGTAGTGATTCAGTAATTCTGTACATTCCTCAGTGCGCATTGTGATAAGTGTGCTCTTCATGCCCTTTATTTCACGCATAGCCCCACCCACCTCCTCTCTGGGAACCGCCAGTTTGTCCTCTGCATGATATAATCTGACTCTTGGAATCTTTATAATGATGTTCAGTTGATAGGTTCTGCCTTTTTTATAAAGTTTTGATTTTAATTTTTAAAAACAAAGTATGGATAAATTTGTCATTGCACATGGTCAAAATGCATTCTTTCAGTAGTTGAAATTGTTAAATATTCTGACGGCCAGGTGTAGTTGGTTTTTGGGGGTGACAAATTACTATTCCCAAAGAAGAAATCTTTGCTCAGCTCTGTGACCTGCCATTTTGGAATCTCGTGCCTTAGGGGTAGGATGGCATAACATAACTTTTCTTGCAAACAAAAATGGCATTTCTGGTGATTTTCATTCTTCCAGACTGTATTAGTCTCTTACATATTAGCAAACGGTGCAAAGGTGTTTTCACCTGAGTATTGAAAGCAGTTGGTGAGTCAGTTGGGTAGAGACAGAGAAGGCTGTTCCCAACTGAAATTCCCTTCCTCCACCCGCAGAGTAAGCCACAGAGGAGGAGACTCCTGAGGCTGCGTAGGGGGAGAGCAGATAGGCTCCTGGGCTGACTGGTGCATTTTCTTTTCTTTTTTCTTTTTACAGAGAGTGCACTTGCTGAGGCGGGGGAGGGGCAGAGGGAGAGGGAGAGAGAGAATCTTAAGCAGGCTTCATGCCCAGTGCAGAGCCCGTTGTGGGGCTCATTCCCACAACCCTGAGATCATGACCTGAGCCAAAATCAGCAGGCGGACACTTAACTGACTGAGCCACCCAGGTGCCCCTGGTGCATTTTCTCTTTCACAAGCCTGGTCAAAATCAGTGTGCTGTGACTGGTGGACAAGGAGAGTGGGGGTCACTCATGTGAGAGATCCTTTGCAAGAGTAGTGTTGAGGGACGCTTTAAGCCAAAACACAGTAATTCAGTACTGGGTTAATTGGGTTGGTGTGCGCAGAGGTGGTAGAAAGCTATTAAAAAAAAAAGGGGGGGGAACCCCCAAGCCTCTCTGTTATTCTACATTGTTTCTTTCCTTGCTTGAATGTAACCCAGTTCAAATTATCTTATGCATTTGCTTTACTCTGATTCAGGTTATGGTGTTTCTTCCCTCCAGCTTGTAAGCAGGCTCCATGCAGACCACTCTGTCCCCAACACCAAGGACAATGCCCCACATAGTAGGGCCTCAGATTTATTAATGAAATAAATTAATGGGTAAAAAGATGTTTCTGAACAAAGAACAATGTCAGTCATTTAGCACAAAAAAGATAATACCAAGGAAGGCAAAATTGAAAATGTTTAGATTGCCTGGGGATGTTTTCTGCAAATGAAATTTTTTTTAAAAAAATTTTTATTAACATATAATGTATTATTTGTTTCAGGGGTACAGATCTGTGATTCATTAGTCTTACACAATTCACAGTGCTCACCATAGTACCTACCCTCCCCAATGTCCCATCACCCAGCCCCCACATCCCTCCCACCCCCCACCACTCCAGCAACCCTCAGTTTGTTTCCTGAGATTAAGAATCTCTTATGGTTTGTCTCCCTCTCTGGTTTCGTCTTGTTTCATTTTTCCCTCCCTTCCCCTATAATCCTCTGTCTTGCTTCTCAAATTCCTCATATCAGTGAGATCATATGATACTTGTCTTTCTCTGATGGATTTATTTCGCTTAGCATAATATCCTCTAGTTCTATCCCCATTATTGTAAATGGCAAGATTTCATTTTTTGATGGTTGCATAATATTCCATTATCTATCTATCTATCTATCTCACATCTTCTTTATCCATTCATCTGCAAATGAAACTTAAAGTTCATTCTGTAGTATTGGGTGTTTAAAAGGAAAATACTAATTCTCTGTAAAGGATATTCTTTTTCTTTTATTGCTATTATAAATTCACTGTATCTAGAAAAGCATATGTTGAATGCCTCAGTTGTTAGGGTTTGGGATTACTGAAAGAAAAGACCAATATTTGTCCTCTAGGGCTCTAGATTACAGTCTGGACATTCAGTAGAGAAGTGCCTATAATAGCAATTGCGAGGCCAGGCCTTGGTGGTTGTGTGAGCCATGGTGTTTAATAGTGGGTGGTTTTTTTCCCCCTAATATCAGGTTTTTTTTAACAAATGAAAGCTCACCGGAGGCTGTATAAAGCAAAACCTCATTTTTTAAAAAAAATCAAACTTTTTTTTTTTTTTTTTTTAAAGATTTTATTTATTTATTTGACAGAGACATAGCGAGAGAGGGAACACAAGCAGGGGGAGTGGGAGAGGGAGAAGCAGGCTTCCCGCTGAGCAGGGAGCCTGATGTGGGGCTCGATCCCAGAACCCTGGGATCATGACCTGAGCCGAAGGCAGACGCTTAACGACTGAGCCACCCAGGCGCCCCCCAAAAATCAAACTTCTTAAGGTATTTTTTGGGGACCATGCTTATTAAGTTTGGGGGTTTGTTTGAAATAATCTCTGTTTATTTTTCCTTTTCAGCTGGAAACTTCTGGGGGAGAACATTGTCGGCTATCTCCAGTTCCACAGACCCAAGCAGCTATGATGGTTTTGGACCATTTATGCCAGGTTTTGAAATCATTCCATATAATGATCTGCCTGCTCTTGAGGTACTGCACTTAGCCTCACAGTGCTTTAGCTCAGAGTAATAGAAATTAAATTTGTTGAATGTATGAATTGAAAATAGATATGGGACTGTAATGAACGTCTGTCTAACATAAGTTGGGCCAAGATTTCAGACTGGTCTCTGTAATGGTCTATTGGTTTCCAGCACGGGGAAGTCAGGTGCCATGGTCTAATCCTGAGAACCAGCTACTTTCTCTTTGTATCCTGCATAAGTAACTTGGATAGTGTATGTTTAATTACTTTATTAGATAAAATTACTCAGTTTTTAGCTAGCCTTTTAAAATTATGAGTGGAGGACTTGTAAAATAAAAAGATTCACTGAAAATGTCTTTTAAAAAGCTATGTTTTTGGGGTGCCTGGGTGGCTCAGTCAGTTAAGCGTCTGTCTTCTGGCTCAGGTCATGATCCTGGGGTCCTGGGATCCTGTCCTGGGATTGAGCCGCATGTCAGGCTCCCTGCTCAGTGGGGAGTCTGCTTCTCCCTCTCCCTCTGTTGTTCCCCCTGCTTGTGCTCTCTCTTTGTCAGATGAATAAATAGAATCTTAAAAAAAAAAAGTAAAAAGCTATGTTTTTTTGGTTTTGATAGTACATTTAACTATGTATTAGAAAATAAAGGATATTGGGGGGCCTGGGTGGCTCGGTTGAGCGTCTGCCTTCATCTGCCTTCGGCTCAGGTCATGATCCCAGGGTCCTGGGATCGAGTTCCCCGTCGGGCTCTCTGCTCACTAGGGAGCCTGCTTCTCTCTCTCCTTCTGCCTGTGGTTTGCCTACTTGTGCGCTCGCTCGCTCTCTCTTGTCAAATAAATAAATAAACAGAATCTTAAAAAAAAAAATAGGATAGAGTAGCTTAAAGCTGAAATATTTGGAGCTCTTGGTAACTGAGTGTCAGAAATGTTATACTTTTTTTTTTAAGATTTACATCCAGGGCACCTGGGTGGCCGAGTTGTTAAGCGTCTGCCTTTGGCTCAGGTCATGATCCCGGGGTCCTGGGATCAAGCCCTGCATCAGGCTCCCTGCTCAGAGGGATGCCTGCTTCTCCCACTCTCACTCCCCCTGCTTGTGTTCCCTCTCTCACTGTCTCTCTGTCAAATAAATAAATAAAATCTTTAAAAAAAAGTAAAGATTTACATCCATTCTAAGAGTGAGAGATAGCGCATGTTGGCAGGGAAAGGGTAAGGGGAGAGGGAAAGAGAGTCCCAAGCAGACTCTGCCTGGAGTGCAGACCCTGACGCGTAGGCTTAGTCCCGAGACCCCAGCCATGACCTGAGCCAAAACCAAGAGTCGGATACCCAACCGCCTGCGCCACCCAGAAATGTTATACTTTAGTACAAAACTTAATTAGCATACTTAATGTAAAAATATATGCAGTGTGTGATTTCAGATTTAACTTACTTTTAGGCTATTTAACCAAATAGGTTAAAAAGGAAGCTACTAAAACGTATTCATATCTTTTTGTAGCGTGTTCTTCAGGATCCAAACGTTGCTGCGTTCATGGTAGAACCAATTCAGGGTGAGGCGGGCGTCGTCGTTCCAGATCCTGGTTACCTGATGGGCGTGCGAGAGCTGTGCACCCGGCACCAGGTCGCCCACCTTGCACCTGCCTACCTCGCTCAGGGCTGGGCCGGTAGTGTGGAAGCAAAGATGACATCACCTTTCCACTAGGGGGAGACCTCATTCTGAGAGCTTCAGAACTTTCTAGTACGCTCTGTCAGCGGCCTACACAGAAGTTGACTTTTTACTAGCTCTGGAAAGTGGCCAAGCCTGGGCTCAGGCAGAGCTGCAGACTTCCCGGGCCAAGGGTGGTTTCTTCCTCTCCACTCCAGCAGCCTGTGGGTGCTGTGATCCTCCCCAGGCCCCTGGTTGTATCCCTCTGCTCTCTTCCTCTTCCCACCGAGCTGGTCCATATTTAAGAAGTAACTGTTTAAGAAATGTTTGGAATAAGCAAGTGAATTAATTTGTTCCCAGAGAGTAGTTCTATCCAAACCCTGCGGAATAGAGCAGAATGGGCCTCAGGGAGGGAGTGGCCTGACACAGGAGATAATTGTGTGTCTGCAGGATTTCCATAGGATGCTGTTGAACTTCAGTCGGTAATTAAAAGGTTCTCACCAATCTGAGGGAATGTCAGAATGACAGATTTGTGTGGGGAAGTGTTCGCTGTTTGCCCTGTGGAAACAAAATCAGTAATTAATGTATTCCCTTGTTTTCCAACAGGTTCTGTTTATTGCTGATGAGATACAGACAGGATTGGCCAGAACTGGAAGGTGGCTGGCTGTGGATCATGAAGGGGTCAGACCTGATGTGGTTCTTCTGGGAAAGGCGCTTTCCGGTGGCTTGTACCCTGTAAGTTGAGGGTTCAGCTTCTTTAGTCCCTACTCTTGTGAAGTCTGCCCTTAAGATATTTTTACGTCAGCCAATCATGACAATGTGCCTTTCCCATGGCCTGGTTATACGGAGTGCGCTGCAAGGCACCCTGAACGTGTAATAGGAACATTTCGGCATTCCAGGGGGCCGATCGGCTTCGTTAACTTTACCCGGAGAACTGCGTGTACCTTGGAATTTGCTCCGGCATTTGTTTTGGATGGAAGCATTTTACCCCAGAAGTACTTCTGTAGAAGCCTGTGCTTTTTCCCGTTGTTCAGAAACCTAGCATTACCAATTGTCTAAAACCGTGACTGATTCATGTAGAGGTTGGGAAAAGAGTAATGTTTTGTTGTAGCTTCGTCCTTGAGTTTACTGCTCAGAGCCAGTCATTATACTGGATGATAGGTAAAGGGCTCTGACCGTAGCGCATGACTGTTGTTTTCTAGGCAGTTAAACCAGGCATTTCACTTGGCAAGTGGAAAGAATTCTAAATTCTATCGTTGCAGAAACCGCTTTCCTCTTGGTTCCTAAATGCTCTTGTTCGGAGCCATCAAAGCGTGCCTGACGAGCTCGCACTGAGCCCAGGGTATCACCAGTTTGTCCCTGGCAGTTAGGATGAAAGATGCATAGCCCTTGTTTGTGGAAGCTTCATGTCACATTTAATACCAGCTTCATAAATATTTGCTGAGAGTGGGAACGGTCAGTCCGGGAAATGACTTGGTTGGTCCCGAATTCTCTGTCTTGCAGGTGTCGGCCGTGTTGTGTGACGATGAAGTAATGCTGACCATTAAGCCGGGGGAGCACGGGTCCACGTACGGAGGCAACCCACTGGGCTGCCGAGTGGCCATTGCGGCCCTGGAGGTAACAGCCGATTCGGACCATTTGTCTGGTGTCCTTTTGTCTGGGTGGTGTCGACGTGGCTTTTAAGTTTGAGCCCAGGGGCGTAATGAGAAATATAATGACTGCCAAGTATCATAGAACATGAAGTCCAGAGGAGGGACTTTAGGGGCAAGGCATTCTCAAAAAGTAATTTAACCTTGGTCTTGTAGACGGGACTCCTCTGGGGGTTTTGAGTTGCAGTCACCTGGAGCTTTGGGGCCAGAGGCCCTGGGTGGCTTTCAGAGCTTTTACTCTGTGAGCAGACCTGGCCCGCAAGGCTATTTTTTTTTTTTTTTCTTTAGGTTTTGTTTATTTTGAGAGAAAGTAAGAGAGCGTGCACAGAGGGAGAGGGAGAAGCAGACTCCCCACTGAGCAGGGAGCCCGATGCGGGGCTGGATTCCAGGACCTTGAGATCACCATCTGAACCAAAGGCAGATGCTTAACTGACTGAGCCACCCAGGCGCCCCCCTCCTTTGTTTTTAAAGTGTAGATTTGAACACTTTTGGACTTATTCCTTAGGGGCCTACTACAAGGCATAAAATTATGTGATCTGGATCCAAGGATGGACTTTTTAGGGAAAAAAGTAAATGAAACTGTAGTTTAAAAATTAAAGTATATTCAGTCCATTGATTTATTCAGCTAATAAGATCAGTTGCATTAAACAAATTTTCATTCTTATTTTGCCACGAAATCAGATTGATGATGGATTTGTGACTAAAGCAAGCTCTGTTTGAGGCTTGTATATGTTTAACTAGAAACTAAACTGGTTGGGCCGCCTGGATGGCTCAGTCAAACGTTTGACTTTTGGTCTTAGCTCAGGTCTTGATCTCAGGGTCGTGAGTTCAAGCCCCACGTTGGGCTCTATGCTGGGTGCGGAGCGTACTTAAAAGAAAAATGAAACTGGGATAGACTTTGGAAAACAAACGAAAGTTCAGTGACTCTGGTCTTTATCTGATCGTGTTCTTCCTTTGCTTATTGTCCACGTTCCTTTCCAAAGAATGACTTAAACCAGGGCAATCTTAGCACTTGTGTAATTTCTCGTTAAACACAGGTTTTGGAAGAAGAAAACCTTGCCGAAAATGCAGAGAAGATGGGTAATATCCTGAGGAATGAGCTCATGAAGCTGCCGTCTGACATCGTCACAGCCGTCAGGGGGAAAGGATTGCTAAATGCTATTGTTATTCGGGAAACCAAAGGTATGGACGCGAACATTTTACTCCAGATGTTATTTTTATGGGAAGGACTGAAACACTTGCGGTATTTTCTCTGGTGGTTGGGTTCCCCTGTTTGAAATTGTTGAGCAGGTCTGTTAGGCAGAGTCTCATCTGACTTCTGTTAATGGCCTGTGGAAATAGAGCCCTTTCCTCCGGGAAGGACTGAACTGCTCCGTGACGTCACTTACCGTTCTGCCTTGGGCCCGTGACGCAGCACGCGGTGTTCAGTTACTTGCTGCCACGGCCTGCACACGGCACTTCCCTGGGGGGCTTCCTGTTCGCTGTCTTCCCTGCCTCCCGGCGGGACTTGCTCCGGCAGCGAAGGTGGCAGGGGTGGCGGGAGTGGCGGGAGTAGCAGTCGGAGCGACGCGTGACAGTGATGGCGGTGACCGGAGTTCCCCCTCCGCCGCCTGCTGCGTGTGGGCTGTCGCAGTACATCATCTGTATTGGCCCTCGAGGGCTCCTTGCTGGATTTTCCTGTGATAACCCTTCCTTTTATTTTTTTTATTTTTTATTTTTTTAAAGATTTTATTTATTTGACAGAGAGAGAGAGACAGCGAGAGAGGGAACGCAAGCAGGGGGAGTGGGGGAGGGAGTAGCCTTCCCGCTGAGCAGGGAGCCTGATGCGGGGCTCGATCCCAGGACTCTGGGACCACGACCGAAGGCAGATCCTCAACGACTGAGCAACCCAGGTGCCCCGATAACCCTTCCTTTTAAAGCAGTGATTCCCACCTTGGCAACACTTCAGGGTCACCTGAGGAACTTTTCATTTTTATTTTATTTATTTATTTTAGAGAGCGTGTGCAGCAGGTGTGGGGGTGGGCAGAGGGAGAGAGAGAATCTTAAGCAGCGGACTCCACACAGAGCGCAAAGCCCAACACAGGGCTCAAGCCCATGACCCTGAGATCACGACCTGAGCCGAAACCAAGAGTCGGACGCTTAACTGACTGAGCCACCCAGGCGCCCCCTGAGGAACTTTTCTTTTTTTTCTTTTTCTTTTTTTAGTTTTTACCCTGAGGAACTTTTATTTTATTTTATTATTTTATTTTTTTAAAGATTTTATTTATTTATTTGATAGAGACACAGCCAGAGAGGGAACACAAGCAGGGGGAGTGGGAGAGGGAGAAGCAGGCTTCCCGCGGAGCAGGGAGCCCGACGCGGGGCTCGATCCCAGGACCCTGAGATCATGACCTGAGCCAAACGCATTCACTTAACGACTGAGCCACTCAGGCGCCCCCCTGAGGAACTTTTAAAAACAATCCAAACCTAGCTTCCCCTCGGAGATTCTGATTTGATGGGTCTGGGCGGGGCCCAGGCATTGGCCGAACCCTTTCGGTGATTCTGACTTGCAGCCAGGGTTGACAATCATACTCTAAAATGAGGACAGTCTCTTTCCACAAGCTCAGGAGGCAGATCCATCTTAGGAATGTGTAGTGTTCCCTGAGTTTGAGTATTGCTCATTCTCTGCCTGTTAACTTCTCTGTGTCCTGCCCAAATTCTTTTTGCACTGGTTCCTCATAATTAATACGACAGCCTTAGCACATAATTTTTTTGCCTGGTGTTTTTCATTTTTGAAAAACGAATAAAGCTGTATGTCTGATCAGACCATCCAAACCTAGTTATGCGCTTGCTGAAAAATAACCTCATTTTTGAGAATAAGAACAAAGCGCTCTTGCAACTCTAAGCGTCTCTTTAGTAAGCCCTGGGAGTTTTCTTCTGCCAGGTGGCTCTTGCCCATCTGTACTGCAAGGGGATGCTCAAACATTTGTCTTTCATCAGCATGCATGTTTGGCCATTTTTCTTTAGATTATGATGCTTGGAAGGTGTGTCTACGGCTTCGAGATAATGGACTCCTGGCCAAGCCGACCCACGGCGACATCATCAGGTTTGCCCCACCGCTTGTGATCAAGGAGGATGAGGTTCAGGAGTCGGTGGAAATCATTAACAAGACCATCCTGTCTTTCTGAGGGGAGGGGCTGTTTCCAGTGGTGCCCGGAGCCAGCTGGAGCCAGCAGTTTGTGTGAGCTCTGTCACATTCCTGTACCTCACAGAGGCACATGCCACTCCCCGGTGTCTTCACGGACTTTTTTTTAATATACATTTTTTTTTTTTCAGTTCGTGCATAATAGAAGGGCATTTATAAACACTCGGTGTGCTGTGTAATGCGACTGTAAGAGAATGGAATGGCATCTCTGTACAATCAAGTTTCTGTGTGCGTGTGTTCTTTTAAGGTGAAATGTACCTACCTGTATATAGAGAGCCTTTTAATCAAGCCCTGCAGTATAATTTTATGTTTTTATAATTTCCTTACTGAACAGATGTTTTGTATTTGAAAAAGTTACATGGGATAGTACATGGAAGACTTGCTTAACCTTATAAAGTTAAATTATAATCACTGAATTTTAGGAAGGATTAATGGTTAAGCTTATATGAAATACTAGGATTTAAGGAAACTTCGTATTGGCCAGCACCAGGGTGTATCCTATAATGTCATTTTTAATTAGGAATTAGTGTTTAACATTCCCAGATTATGTTTTAAGTGATACAGTTTGTAAGAAAGGTTTATTTTCAGTTTTTCTTTAAAGTAACGCTCTATTTAAGCATCTGTTATGATGGCAGTGTCTCTGATTACCTAACATTTTTAAGCTCTTTGAGAATGTTTTTGCTTTACTGTGTGTGTTTTCTAAGAGCATTTCAGCGTCTTTGGTGATAGAAAAATAGAAATTATAAAAAGAAAGTCTGTTATTATATACTCCCTTCTCCCCTTTGACAATAATTGCTTTTTTCCTGTGCTTATACTGGTATTTACCATTTTTATTAAAGTATCCTTATTATGCATGGCATTGTGCAACTTTTTTTTTTTTTTTATCTGAACATAGTATTCTGGAGGCTTTTCTATGTCGGTAATTACAAGTTTATCTCAGCCTGTGAGGACTGTCATGTGGATATATTATAATTTCACACTGGGGGACACTTGGGTTGTTTCCAGTTTTTCCTTCTTTAAACAAAGCTTGTGTCTGCTTTACGTTTCTACAGTCTGTGTTCGTGGAGGTCTCTAGAGGTGGATTGCTGTGTCAAAGGGAATGAACTTCTATTTATTTTATTTTTATTTTTAAAGATTTTATTTATTTATTTGACAGAAAGAAAGAGCACAAGCAGGGGGAGTGGCAGGGAGAGGGAGAAGCAGACTCCCCTCTGAGCAGGGAGCCCGATGTAGGGCTCGATCCCAGGACCCTGGGATCATGACCTGAGCCGAAGGCAGACACTTAACTGACTGAGCCACCCAGGCGCCCCCCCATTTTTATTTTTTAAAATATTTATTTCTTTTTTTTTCAGTATTTTATTTGTTTGTTTGTTTGTTTATCTATCAGGGAGAGTGAGAGAGAGAGCACAAGCAGGGGGAGTGGCAGGCAGAGGGAGAAGCAGGCTTCCCGCCGAGCAGCGAGCCCGATGTGGGGCTCGATCCCAGGACCCTGGGACCATGACCCGAGCTGAAGGCAGACGGTTAACCAACTGAGCCACCCAGGTGTCCCTTAATATTTTATTTCTAAATAATCTCTACACCCAACATGGGGCTCGGACCTACAACCCTGAGATCGAGAGTCGCAGGCTCTCCTGACTGAGCCGCAGGTGCCCCGGGAATGAACTTTTAAATGCCATGGTGCTGTGTGGCTCCCTGCCACCCCCAGGTTCCAACGAGTTACCTCGTAGCAGCATGGGGGTTCATGACTGAACGTGTGGGCAGTTACAGGGGGTCTGTTCTTACCAGTGGCGGTGCTTATTGGTCTGGGTGGGAGTTTCTGGTTAAAGTGTTGGCAGCGGCTAGACAGGTCTGTCTGTAGGACACATGGCACACGGGAGTGTGACGTTCCTCCTGAAACGTTCAGAGGCTGCCAGTTCTCCATCCCTGGTTTGCACTCTAGGACCGGGTACCAGTGTCTCAGCCTTCCCTCCAAACCTCCCGGAGGCCCCTGACTGGAACCTGCAGACGGCCTCGAGGCTGCCCATTAGCATCACTCGGGCTGTCGGAGTCTCCAGGCTGGCACCCAAGCACCAGGAAGTTTAAAGCTCCCCAAGAGGATTCTGTGTGCAGTCAGGGTTGAGAAACCTGGCTCAGGGGTCTTCCTAAAATGCAGATCCTGATTCAGTGTGAGCCAGACCTGAAATTGTGCATTTCCAGTGAGCGCTCAGGGGGCCCCAGTCCCTGCAGAGGCAGATGCTGATGCTGCCTTCAGGCCTATGATCATCAGGCAGGAGTCCGTTTGATGTGCATTCAGCAATTCTCACCCATCAGAGAAGCCCTGAAGGCCAGGTGAATTTAAGAAATCGACAAGCTTCTTGCTAAATCCTCTGTGGGCCTAATAGTTTGAGAAAGGACCCTGTAGGAAAGCACAGGGTGCCGTGGGGAGCAGTTAGAACCTCGCATGCAAGAAGGTGGGATGTTGGGGAGTCTGGAATTCCTTTGGCGTCAGTGGAGGAAGGACGGGAAGCAGGGAAGTGGGGTGATACCAGATATATTAGACAAGCCTGCCAGGGGGAATGCTGCAGACCTGTTCACCCAGTGCACGCTTCCTGGTTTGCTAGCCATGTCTGTGGTGCTGGGTATGTGGAACGTGGAGAGCGAGGCGGAAAGACCCACGTGCTTGCTTCACTTTATAGTTTGTGGAGGGGGTGCTTGGTGATGGGGGGAGCCCAGGTAGTGGGGAGGCAGGACGGAGGAGAGGCTTTGGGATGTCAGAGCTATAGACTTGTCTTTAGAGCCTCCCTTCCCCCCTCGGAGGAAGTGGGACAATACCCACCTTTCCAGAGAGGTGTGGGCATGAACCGCTATGGGATAGGTAAAGTCCCCACACAGTACCCGGCAGATGCTGCCTAGGGCATGTGATCACAGTCAGGGGTCCCCGCCACTCTCCATTGGAGGAAGAGGGAACCTCTAGATGAGGGTGCTAGCGGGAGGGGGAGAAATGGGGTAGAGTTGGCGGGGCTGGCTGTGCCCTGAAGGGGAGGAGTGGCCTAAAGCAGAAGCCACGGAGAGCATGGGATGCCCAGATACAGGCCCTGGGTTGAATCGCCCAAAGAAAGATAATCCAGGTGTTATTTCGCACTTCCAGTGGTAAGTACCATTGTACTTAGTACATAACAAAGTACTGAGTGTCATAAATGCCAGAAATTTATTTCACAGTTCTGGAGTCTGGAAGTCTGACGTCAAGGTGTCTGTAGGGCTGGTTTCTTCTGGGGGCAACTCTCACATGGTCTTTCCTCTGTGTGTGTGTGTGTGTGTTCTTATAGGGACACCAGTCACACTGGGTCAGGGCCCACTCTAATGACCTCATTCTAACTTAATTATCACTTTAAAGACCTGATCTCCAAATACAGTCACATGCTGAAGTACTGGGGGTTAGGACTTCAACCTATTAATCTCAGGGGAGGAGCACAATTCAGCCCATAAGAAACCCCAACGATGATTTGTTCTTTGCATTTTGTCTTCCTAGGACACCTGGTCTAAGTTTATCATTGGACACATAAGAAAACTCAGGTTGGGTAAGACATCTGATTTACCTAGGCTAGCACGTGAGGCAAAATTACAGTGCATTTGAGGCACTAGGAATTTAAAGCTCCCAGCCTCTTCCCTACAAGAGGGGAACACACCATATGGGAGCCATTTGTAGGTTTAGATCTGTGCTTAATGCTGGCAGCAGACTAGGGTCACTTGGTATGCTTAAAAAAATTAATATCAACATCTAGGCTCCACCTCACATCAATTGCATCAGAATCTCTGGGGAGGGGCGCCTGGGTGGCTCAGTCGTTAAGCGTCTGCCTTCGGCTCAGGTCATGATTCCGGGGTCCTGGGATCGAGCCCCGCATCGGGCTCCCTGCTTGGCCGGGAGCCTGCTTCTCCCTCTCCCACTCCCCCTGCTTGTGTTCTCCTCTCTCGCTGTGTCTCTCTCTGTCAAATAAATAAAATCTTTAAAAAAAAAAAAAAAAGAATCTCTGGGGAGAGGGCCTGGGCGACTGTCTATTGAATGCCCCCTGGGGGATTCTTTTTTTTTTTTTATTTTTAATTTTTTTTTAAAAGATTTTATTTATTTATTTGAGAGAGAGAGAATGAGAGAGAGAGCACATGAGGGGGGGAGGGTCAGAGGGAGAAGCAGACTCCCCGCCGAGCAGGGAGCCCGATGCGGGACTCGATCCCGGGACTCCAGGATCATGACCTGAGGCGAAGGCAGTCGCCCAACCAACTGAGTCACCCAGGCGCCCCCCTGGGGGATTCTAATGCGCAGCCTTTGCAAAGTGGGTGTTGAAGGTAGATGGAGGAGTGGATGAATGTGAATGCAGGTGTCATGTACTCCACTCACCATGCCAGGCACTGGGCTTGCACTGGGGGTCCACTGGTGAAAGAGAAGGACTTCATGGGTTTTTTTTAGTCAGTACACTTTTTAAAATTATTTTCTTTTATTTATTTGGGAGAGCGAGAGAGAGAGGGAGCCAGAGTGTGAGTGCAGGAGTGGGGTGGGGGGGCAGAGGGAGAGGGAGAAGCAGACTCCCTGGACCCTGAGATCATGACCTGAGCCGAAGACACTTGACCTACTGAGCCACCCAGGCGCCCCTAGTCAGTACATTTATTTGTAAAGTACTCAGTACCACTTGGCTAGCCCCGGAGGAGAGGCAGTGCTTCAAAGAAATCCCATTTATTTTTATTTATTTATTTATTTATTTATTTATTTATTTATTTATTTATTTATTTATTATTCTTATGTTAATCCCCAAGAAATCCCATTTATTAACCAGTATGTGCCAAGCACTATTCCACATGTGTTGTTTTGCCACAGGCACAACCGTTTCCATTTCACAGATGAGAAAACGAAGTCTTAGGGCAAAGAAACTTGCCTTAAGTTATTAAAGTAATAGGTGGTGGAGGCCTGGAGCCCTAGGTGGTCTGCGCTAGGCTTCTGTGAGGAGGCAGGGGGTAGTCCCAGGTGCCCCAGGGACTAGGGGGTGGGGGACAGACAGTGCCTCCATTTGTCTAAGGAGTGGTTGAATGGCCCCCAGTATGTGTAAAAGCATTTCAATTTGTTTCTAACTTGGGGAATGGATTCTGAAAAATACCAGCAGGAGCCATTCAGATGAGTAATATATAAAAAAAGCAGTTTAGCCCACTTAGGAAAAACTGTAAAACATATTTCAGGCCCTACTCTACTGTTTC